AAACAAAATATAACTGTGCTGCCGTATCACTGTGGCCACGCCATTCTCCAGACATAGGAACCTGTGAATACTCTCTGAGATTCCCGATTTCAAATCTTTGCTGAAAGGACAACATTTACAACAGTAGACAATAGTAGAAATAGGGCTGTAATCGTGAAACAAGCTCGAGCCCATACTTAAAAAGGCGTATTCCTTAAAGTTAAAGATACGTAAACACAAGTGCATAATATCGAAGGAGTACGACTTTAAAGGAATTGGAGTAAAAAGTAAGGAAAAATTAATACTTTTTAGAAAGAGTAGTAAAATTAGAGAAACTAATAAAATTTAAATATATTAGTTTGCAATAGAACCTCAAAAGGAATCATCAGAAATGTGTTATTCAAACAGAATGGTTAAATTATTGGTACTTATAATGTCACCGAATTTGTAGCAATAGAAGTATCGGACTTCGAAAATAATTTATAGATATTAAATATATTTTAATTTAATTTTTTATATTTTCAAGAAGAATTATAAATATTCATGAATTCAAAAAAGCGTCAAAAATATGACATTTTGAGATAATATCCAAATATGTGATGGTAAAACGCAAAATCAATAACAATAAAAACTTAAACAAATGCTTAAATTTTTCAATATTTATTAATTAAATTTAGTTTTAACGTCAGTTATGACGGCAGTGATTATTTTACGTAATAGAAATTATTGTATTTAATAGAGATGTTTCGAACAGTAGTAAATTGCAACAACGGAATTTTTATTATCTAAATTAATTGAGTTTATAGTTTACCATAGATTTGTTTCGATAATTGTTATTATCCATCATCAGTGGTCTTGAAATTATTTTTTATATTTAGTTATTCCTAAATACTGTAAGTACTCATACGCTGCCAAATTTGAAGGTCAGAGTCAGAGAATGTTCAAACTTGGAGTTTTGTTGATTTTGCTGTGAAAGCTCATTAACAAATTCTTTTGCTGTGTTACATTAAAATGAAATTTTGAACCAGCTGTAGAATTATTGAATCAATTATTTATATTTTATATAGTTTTAATTATTAAGTTTTAAAACTATTCTATATTTAAACATTAACTTAATTTCACATTAGAAATACATTTAAATTGTGAAACTATTAAAAAAATTTGACTGACTTGATTTATCGTTTAATAATCATTTAAATGCCAACTAATTTTTATATAAACAAAGTTGACTAAAATTTATATATATGTAAATACATATATAATGTAGAATTTATTATAAAACAGTTTTTATATGACAATTTCATTACGTTTTTATTACTTACATTAAGTTTGCATGTCATTCTGTAATAAAAATTTTCTTTCTCAAGAGACCTAATTTCCTTGACATATCACTTTGATGTACTTCTCTTTCCATACGAATACTCAGATATTCGTATGATATTTAGATATAAAATTACTTAACATTTGTTGCATGAGTTAGGAAAATATATTAGAATATATTATTATTCGATTGCATAAATATAGTTATTTAATAAATTAGAATAAACCAATCTAAAAATTGTTTCAATTAAAAAATGTGCGAAGGATATGAAAAAGGTTCAAAAATTGTTAAATAATAAAATGTTTTTATAATATAAATAATAATATAGTTGTTATATTATAATAATCTATTATATTATGTATGTTATAATATATTTGGCAAACATATAGAAAGTGATTGCTTGCTTGAAAAACGAAAAAAATTACAGGATTTAAATAAAATAAAGATACAAAAAAAATGTTAGTCCAAAAAATTCCAAAATTTTAGAAATGGTGGTCCTTAATACAGCTTCTAATTTGATTTTGAATTCATTATTGTGAGTAAACAAGATCAGAAATTAGAGCAATGTTTTTTTGAAAAATTTTTCATCATTTTTTCGGGAAACTATTTTGTTAATATTTTTAAAAATCAATTATTATTATCTTACGAACATTTTTTATTAAAGAATTTTCTATCAATCATACTATAGTTACTTTAGTTATTCTTTGTGAAAGTAGAGAAGTACCCATTTTTTTAATAATAACGCACAAACTAGTTATGGCTTATGAGTACTAATGACCTCGTTTCGCAGGCGGATTGCTCGGAAGTGTGGTATAATAAACTCCATCCATTTCACATCAAAAATTGTCATAAACTCTTGAAAACGAGTTTATATTAAAGTTAAAATATTGTAAATAAAATAAAAATTAATATAAAATAATATAAGTTGTTTTTTTCAATTTTTATTTATAACAATAATTGAATTGACTAATTAGCCTAATACAATATTACCATTACAACATATAACATTAGGTCTTATAATAATAAATACATAAAATACCATATAAAAAAATTTTCTACAATATACAATTTTTGTGGAACGTTTTCTTTATATGAAGTTTTAAGTCAATTTTTTTGCTTGGATATTAGTACTAAGCTAAAGATAAAAAATCCCTTACCCAAATATAGTCACAGGATTCAATGTCTGTCAGTTTTAAACAGTTCCAATGATAAGAATGTAAATTTGGTAATATCCGAAACGAATTTGGTGTTATCAGTTCAAAAAATTCAAGTGTTTAAAAATTGATTTTTTTAATTAAATATCTACAGTTTTTTTCCTATTCTATTTAAAATAGAACATTAACTTCTATGGATATAAATTTTTTATTTATAATTATAATATAGTATTAATGTGATCATTTAGATATAAATAAAAGTGAGCACATTTCTGGTGCCAACTTAAAGATACGCCTATACTCGTTTCTGGTTCACAGGTTCCAATATTGAATATGAAAGTCGGTAACATAGAAAATTCTACTTTTCAAATTATTTTCTACTTGATAACATTTTCTTTTTTAAATAAGTATCAGATATTAATTTTTATTATATATGTTATTGTTTTTTTTAAAGACTCAAAATTTTACCAAAAAATTGTTTGGTAAAAGTCGCTTATTTTAAATTTAAAAAACTTTTATAAGTAGAAAGTAAGTAAAAAGTGTTTTTTACACCTAATAACTCCATATGAAGGGTATTAAAGTTTTGACAAAACTATATACATATAACTTTTTGATTACTTTCTTATTGGTAATTGTGCTTGTTTTTTTCAATAATTGAAGCGTTGTATAAGGAAAAGTTTGATGGAGCTTAACAGAATGATGCAGAATGTCGGAGGAATAGATAACAGATATTTCTCTAGTTCTTACATTTTAGCGGTAGAAAGAAGATCGGCGTTAGGAAGATATCATATGAGTTTGTATTATATGAATGGATTTATGTTGAAAATAAGGAACGTGCTTCAGTATGGTCGACTGGGTCAAATTGTGGACGCGAAGTCAATTTGGTCTTAATACTAAGTTGATTATTCCTGAACAACTTATTTTGTTTAGTAGAACGTGCCTGAACATAAAATTCCGGAAGACATGGCTTCAATGAGGGATAAAGTTGTGTGTTTAAGATAGCACACAACGCAGAGTATTTAAAGCTATACTTAAATACCTTCTGTAACCATCTTTCTAATATTTGATATAATCTTTCATTGTAAGTCACTATATAATTACTGTTAATATTATAACTCTTTAAATTACTAATACTATTGTAACTATTCGTGATTAAATTTTTACTATTTATTTGTTAAATCCATTAAAACATTGCAATGACGAATCAAATTTGTTAAGTACAATACTTGGGATTTGTAGTTCAAAAATTATATATGGACTATTAAAATCAAAGTATATTATGTGAAATGCGACTTATATGCATTATACAAAAAATTATTACATTATACAAATTTTTGTTATATTATATTACTTGTTTTATCTGAATAATAGCTATTTTAATTTTTTCTATTTGATTTTATATCAATTGTCAATCAATTGTTAGTACAAAAATTTATTTACTTAATAACAATTTTCCCAAGCTTATCATTAACAATTTGAACAATCAAAAAAAAAATTAAGTTTATTAAGCAAATAAATCTAATAAACTGGATTCGGTGATATGACGTTAATAAGTGCATTCAATAACATTCACTCTTAACGGGCACTTGAACTTCGTACCTTAGCACTTTCGAACTTCAACGCTACAAACTCAATTACGAATTTTGGAGGTGTGTTCGCCACTAACGATTTTACGTAAATAATTACACATTACTTTTTTATATTTTCACGGTAATAAATTTTTTAATATTCAATCATCTTATTTTTAATCAGTTTTGAATATGACGACATTTCCTTATACTAAGTAGACTAGCTGATATTTTGTTTTTTTTTTGTAAAAAGTGCTGAATAAGTGCATATATTTTACATATATTTGTATATTTGTATATGTTAACTCACATATATATATATTCCAAGAAGAAATCAGATAATATAAAAATATTCTTATGCAATCGATTTTATTAGTAGCGCAGAAAAATGTGAAATTGTTTATTATTAAGAAAATTTTCCCGCGCGATTATTTTCGAAGTACCTTTCGTAAAGGCCAAGGTCAATGCACGTTACACACACTACATAATTTAACTACTAAACGATGCTACGAATTTCTCACATATTCAACGCAACCCTCCTTCATACGAGTGTGTTGTACCTGTATATCTCGTAAGCGTACATACATATAACTGCATTTATATGTTATATGCATTTACTGCTCAAAGCCAACTTACTTCGTGTTACAAAGAATGAATGGCAAAGTCAATTGGGTCAAGGCCGTTTTGAGGCTATAAAAAACTGTTTGAATCACAAGTAAATGCAAAAAAGAAAAACGTAAAAAACCAACTTTCGTTGAAGCTGTAATGTTTGTATTTGCCAAATAGAAAGATTAAATAAAATGAGAAATAAAAATAAAAATTATTAAATAAAATATTAAAAAAATCTTTAAATCAAAACAAATTTTAAATATTAATAAAAAAGTAATTTATCTCTAAAATTTTTGTAACAAAAGGTAAACAAATGCTAAACAAAACTGTTATTTTTTTTATATTCAAAATGACATTGTGTTCACTCACCATGATGAAAATTTGCAGAGATTTCTTCAATTTACGCGAAAATCAAACAAAATGTATTCTAATAAAATTTGATTTCCTTGTTGAGTACTTTCAAAAATATTATATTCCGTTAATTGTCTGAAATATTTCTTATTCACAGAATTTCCATAAACACTACCAACGTGAGGTTGCGACTACGACTGAAGTAAAGCACCGAATTTTTAGATTTTTTCACCAACTTGCCAAACTCAGAAAGCTTTAGCGCAATTTTTCCCACATTCAGCAGCTGTGGCGGAGCTTTAATGTGTCTCGATAATATATATTATATATTTGACTAGAATGTAATTATATTTATTAAAAATATTATATTATTTTTTGCGTTGAAAAAAAATTATTTTTGGAAATAAAAATTAAAGCAAAGTAGACTTTGTTGAAATGTATAAATATTGTAGAAACATTTCAAAATTTGCACTGAAATAAGCGAGCAGCCAAAAAGCTTTTTCGTTTGTTTTGATTTCGACAAAAATACTGGTTTTTTTACTCGAATTTGTTAAGAAGTAAAAACAAAATAATTGAAAACAAAATATAAATCAAAATTAAGCAAATAAAATAAAATTAATATTAAAAATAAATTGACAAACGTTTTTTTGCATATATTATATTACTATTAGCTTTTTTTAATTTTTTCCAGTTATTAAAAATATTATATTTAATAAACAATCACGAAGAAGAAGACCTATTAACTTTAAAACGTTGTTGATATATCTACATAAATCTAATAAAATATATCAAAAAATTATATAACATTTCAATTATAATGCACTTTCAAATTGTTCATCTCAGACCTTCTTAATCTGATTTTGTTGAATTAATAAAAATAATAAATAAATTCAATAAAAAATTTTTGTTTTCCAGATGAAAACATTGTTTATTAATATACTAAGTGTTTTAGTACACGTAATGTATGCTAATTATATTTGATAATTATAAATGTAAACATAGTATTATATTATTATTCATATGTATTTATTATATTTTCTCACGTAGTCAAAAAGCTTAAAATTTGTTTGGCACTTGTAGTTAACTTAAAATTGATTTTGGAAATCTAACTTTTCCCTAACTTATCTAGGAAGAAATCTATAGCTTTAACCTGGAATCTGTACATATAAAAAAACACAAAGTGCTTACTTAAATGGGGTTAAAATAAGGCGCAGACAATTGTCTCATGGGACCAAAATAATTTCACTGACTTTTGGAGAATTCAAAAGGGCATAAGCCGAGTAAACAATTTAATCAACTCTAAAGTAGTAATAGTGAAAATTTTTTTAAGCAGCAGACAAGACACAAAAAGTTATACTGAACTAATGATAGATCGTTGTAAACTTAAATACAATTTAAAAAATAAGTAGCGATGACGACGATTCTGGTAGATTTAGCCATGAGGAATAGAACATAACAAGACAGTTAAATGCCACAATTTTAATTTTGATATTAAATTCTTAGTCTTAGACAATATTAAACCCACAACAGTTTTAAAAATTTTTAATTGTCCAAAATTGAGGTGATTTGTGAACTCTAATTTAATGATGGTGTTCCTAACAGCCAGTATATTAGCTTCCTCCACCGGTTGTATTTTATATGATCGGCACTGAGAAAACCCAGCAATCTACATCATTTAAATTGTAGTTTTTATTTAAAAACTATTTTATTTATTTTAATTTAACAATCTGCAGCTGCTGAGCGTTAGAAATTTTAGTTGCATCTACATCAGTTTTTTGCAAATTTCAGTTCGTGGTACTCAGTTTTTGCAATATTGACTGCCAACATCCTTTGATTCTGATGACTTTTATGAATTACTTTTATTTTATCATAATTGAATTTGATCTGTTTCAGCAAGTATTTGACCAGATTATCAATATACCCTTTTGGCAGTAAGATAATTTATTTTCACCTACACCAAAATACAAACAGCATGTGCCAGCAGCGTACAAAGATTACACATTAGACTTTATTGTTGGAATGTCAGTTGTATATATTAGATAAAGCATTGAAGAAAGCGGAAAATAACACAAGATCTGCCATTCATCTTTTTTTAATGGGATGATAATTCTAAATTTTTATTCGGAAATTTCGATTTATCAAAAAGTTTCCAAGTATCCTTATGAGTTGGGGGGTGGAAAACGTTGAGTTCGCTTTTTAATTATCAGTATCACTTACAAAACTTTATAAAATGCTTTCTTAATACGAAGTAATTTTAGACCTTTTGACTTTCTTTGATGTACAAATGAGTGTAACGCTTTAATTACTTTAATAAATTGCCGGACAGTGTAATGATTTGCTCTAAAATTCAATTGTTCATCTCAGAAAACTCTTACCCTAATAGTGACTTCGTTTAATTTAGCAAGCATTATACATATAGTAATTTTCTCTATGACTGGTAGCATACTGATGTTATAAAGAAACCAAAATGTAGGTATTTTGTATTTTGGCTATATTTTTAGTAAAATATATAATTCACTCAAAATAGCTCATTCTATTCAACTAAAACAGTTTAATATATTCAGAGAGCAGTTATTATTATTTTGATATTTAAAACTATTATTAATAAATAAATAAATACATTGAATGCACCAGTTTCATACATAAATATTAATCTAAAAATTGTTTAAATTATAAATATAAGAGATTATATGGATATATATGGATGCAGCCACATAAATATTGAATTATTGAATGAGTATTACAGTAGTTAATTAGATTAAAAATACTGGTTTTCTAATAAATAGTTGTTTCTTTTTTAATCTCAACTGCATTCTGAATGGTAAGATTAGTTACTCGCAATTAGTTTTTTTATATAAATACATATACATAAATAAATTTAAAAACAAGTGAACACATTTTAAAATTCTGAAGACTTAATAGAGATTTTTCTAGAAAAAAAATCTGTTTGCACAATTTTGGTTGAATACTGTTATGAATTTTCTTTCTAAAGTAGTTCTCCGCGCATCAATCTGAAAATAATTAAAAATAAGTTATTTAAGATTAAATATTAATAAATGCTCTTTACCTTTCAATTTTTTCCATGCAAGCATTTTCATAATCATGTACCCAATATATTTTATTTAAATTACATATTTCTTGTACATTATTCAGTGAAGTTACAGGTTTTTGATACCATTTATCTATTATAGGAATAATTTTACATTTCGCTTGATTTGCAGCTATGAGTTCCTATAAATAAAGGCTGTATGTAAAGTAATTCTTTTGTGTAAATATTAAGTATTTTACCTCCTGAATTCTTTTAGTATTAGTTTCTTGTTCATTCTCTATCGTTGAGATGATTAAAACGAAATACTTTGACTTACTAATACTTTTAATTGTTTCTACAGGGGATATAGTTACGTCGTCATTACTTATAATGGTAGAGAATCCACGCAAATATAGTTGCATCTAAAATACAAAAACTATTGAATTTATGTCCAAATAACAAACAAATTTATTTATTTAACTTACTTTAACAAATTTAGCTAACGTTAAGTCAGTGAATTTTGTATAACTAACAAAAACATCATTAGTTTTCTCCATTAATTTATTTAAATCATTCGCCTCTGCCAAACATTCATTCGGTATTCTTGTTGAATTGTCGATTTTATCCTGCAAAACATAATTAACATTTAATTTGCTTTTAATCATATATATTATTCTTAAGAATTACTTGTATTTTTAGGATTACTAAATTAGCTTCCACATTACCAAATTGTACCGACGATGTAGTGTCTATAACTGTTTTACATAACGGATTTAATTTTTGTCCATTAAGAAATGTACCATTTGTGCTTTGTAGATCAATGAGAGTAACGCTTTCAATGTTTACTTCAATTAATGCATGCTTTATATCTAAAGACTAAAATTGACTCATAAGTAATTCTAATGAATTAATTTGAAATTATTACTCACCTCGTCATGTATTGTTATACATTGTTGAGACTTTTTTTCATTACTTTTACCAATCAAATAAACAGAACCAGGCTCCAATTTATAATTAGATAATTTATTTATTTCCAATAAAGTATACTAAAAATATTTGTTTATTATTATTTAAAACGTAAAACACAAACCTAGGCAATTATACCTGTTGCTCCATTGTTAATTTAAGGCCAGCAATTTAAATTACGAAGTGCTTTTGACGTTTAATCAGCTTTTTGTCAAAGAATGAAAAATTTAAACAGGGTCGTTATAAAAATTATGTTGTGATGTATTTTAATATATATAACAGAGTTTATTATTGTATGATACCAGAAATTTTTTATTAATAATAGGGGTGTTTAGGATGTCTGTGCATCGTTGAATGTGCATCATTGTAAACTCAAATAAGCTTGAATACATTTAGTGCATATTAGTTTTAAAAATATTTAGGACCGCTAATTTTTGTTTTCGTATTTATTTACTTGTAAAATATAACTCAGTTTCAATATACATAATTTTGACAGTGTCAAGAAAAAGTTAAAAACAGAATATATTGACATTGTCTAATATTGTTAGACGTAAAATCAATTAATTTTATACATGTAACGATGCACAGACATCCTTAATACCCCTAATATGTATATGCACATTAAAATTGAAAGTTCTGAAATTCAACTTTCTAATTTTGATATTAAAAATATTAAAATACAAATTAAGCAAATAATAATAATGGTTACAATTAATTGCACATTGAATGCATAATATTCAATATTACTGATATATTTTTCATTTTCTGTAGTTTAATAATGAAAATATTTTTTCTATAAAGATTATTATATATGAATATTTTTACAGAAGGTGCTTTCGGCAGCTTTTAAATGTGGCAAAAAACAGCAAGTTGCTTACTATAAGCGCTAACCGAAATGTTATGTTCGTAAAGAGCATATCTTGCATATAATGCAAGCAAGTTAATTTTTGTATAAAAAAAATAATAAAGCTAAAATTAAAAAATAAACTGAATAATGTGCTAATATCTATGTTTAAAATGCAGGAAATTTTGATATTTTCTTTCCTTTTGAATAAGAATTAACTTGCTAGCAAGTAATAACTTAAAAAATTTAACTTACTTTTAAGTTATACTTCTTCACGTACTCCCAAAAATTTATGTATATATTTATGTGTATATATTTTAAATATTTATTTACCACAATTTTATATATTTCATTACCAAAATTTTCAAATTTGTGAAATCTTTTAATTTTGTTGGATTTCTGTTTACATTATTCTGACAGATTACTGGAATATGAACCATGTACCATAAAGGTTCACAATAAATCGCTTATTGCTTTGGTAAGATTTTTTTTTGCATTCGTTAAAATGTTTGGCTACTCCACATCTAGGTGCTTAGATAGAGAAAGTAGTGTTGTTGTTTTGTGTACAAATTAGCAACTTTAAGCTAATTTGCTGGTTTTTGTCACACTTAAAATACACTTAAATAAAGACTGGTCATCTTCCTTTATATGACGGTTATATACAAGGGAACGGTGCAATATTTTAGAAAAAAATATTAAGAAAAACTTGGCCCTTAGCAAAATTGATAAAAAATTTTTCGAAAAACTCAACTTCAACCAATTTAGTTTCTGAATCATCCTAGGTACAAAAAGAATTTATAAACCAATTTAAAAGATATCTAATAACTAATTGTAGAATAGAGCTATTTAGGCAAAACGTTTTGAGATACACTGTAATAATGAATTCATGAATAATGAATAATACTACTCAAGCTATTTAGATGCAATGTTTTTGAGATATATTGTAGTAATGAATACATATGTAGATCTAAATGAAGATTGGATATCTTGATTAAATGATTGCTGAATACCCATAATACTTGATATACTTATAATAATAAAATACAAATAAAAATGTAGAAAAGTACTTTAAAAATATATTTACAATTAACACATTTGCAATACTTCAAATAAATAGTGTTTTAGTGTAAGAAAAGTATTTTTTTGTGATACATATCCGATATATCTGTATATGTTTTTATTAATTCGAACTTTAAAATTTATTGTTGTTATTATTGTTAATTCGATAAAGAAACTTAATATTATAATTAACAAAATGTAAAAGAATTGTTGTTACTACCATTGCAGATCATTACATACTTAAGATATATTTAACATATATATTAAATACTTCGAAAGATAAGTTTATAATCAGAGATTTGAATTGCTTTCTTCACTATAAAGTTATAAAACTAAAATAAAACACACTAAGTAGAGTTTTTACCAATTTAATTAATTCGTTTTTGCTTAAATTAGTTATGACACGTATATATTAACTTTTAAATAGTTTTTCTCTTTCACTTATTTAATAATAAACAACTAATTTTTGCTTATTTTTTTTTTTTTTGTTTAGTAGAAGAGTGTGTTTGTTTGATTTCGAAGTAGATAATTTACTATTTGGTAATTGCATCTATTACCAAAAAATCATTCGGCCGGATGTTGGTACAGTAGCTTTCGTTAATATTAACCCCGGTATTTCGTCGTCTTCAATATCATTACTTCGTAGAGCAATTATATGAGGTGCATAAAAATAAATTAATTTTAATTTTTAACTTAAAAAATTAAAATAATTAAAATTATAATAAAATGATTAGCAGACTTACATATATTACAATGTAAGATCTATAGTATATGACAAACACAACATTTACAAAGTATATTTATTATAAAATGTATGCGAAATGCATGCCAAAATTTAATTACTTTGACTAATTATTCAAACATATTTATAAAAATTTATTTTTAAATTATAATAATAATAAATAAAGGACATTAATATTATATATTAAATTTAGCATTAATTTTAAGTTAATGATTATTTCTATTTTAACTATACTCAAATCCATTTGAGTATAAACATGCGCTTTTGTGCTGTAGAACAATGTACATCGAACCTCTTTCCACTTACAAAATCGGAAATAGTCTCGAAAAGTTATGATTACTTGGCACTTGGAACGATATACACAATACATATATGTATGAGCGTAGTAGATATGGGCGAGATACATTCACGATTTCTTTCAGGCATTTATGGAGGCACAAGTAGATGAGACTTATTTATGGTCTACGAATAAAGTGTAGAAAGCAAAACAAGAAAGAAAAAGAAAAGATAAATTAAATATTAGAAATGAAAAATTTATTTAAAAGTAAAAAAATCTATTAAAATAAAAATAAATAAAAAAGTAGTAAAATATATGACTTTTTAATTTAAATGTTTTTAAATGAAGCCATAAACTTATATAATGAAATTAATGAACGAAATAACAGTACAATTATTTGTTTTTCACCTAATTATCAGAATTATATTAATTAATTAATATTTCAGCTAAATTATTACATTCGCTTAAGTGACACTGATAGAAGAATAAGAATATAACATATGGGTTCTAACTAGAATTATAAATACTCACTATTATAAAGAATAGTCGTAAGACTGTTTAAATTAGATTCTACAACCATAAAATAGCTTTTTTATGTAGATATAAACTATAAATATACTTTTTTATTTTCACAATTAAAAAATTTTGGTATGGCTTATAAAATCGGCTTAGTGATATTAATGATGCAAAACAATAAAGAGGAATTTAAATTTCATCCGTTGCGAGCTAAAAAGCTTAGTGTTTCAATAGATTATAATAAATAAGCCTTTCTTACTGTTATTGCAGTAATAACAATAAAATATATTTAAAAAAAAGGTGTACATTTACGTTTTTATTACAATATTCGTTGACCGTCTAGCTACTCTCATAAATAAGCAACCTCCTTTTGGTCCGCAGATAAGATTTGTACCTTAATATTAGGTCATTTTAAAACATAGAACGTAGCGATTGTTATTTCTTGAGATATATCTCAATTAGTTAAGTTTATTTAGAAGAATAATCTATTACTTTAATTGCTTTAAGACAAATGTTATTAGACATTTTAAATGTTGAAAATTTCAAGAAGGTAAAATAGAGGCAAAGAACAAAATAATAAATTACAGTGAATTATATTGTTTAAAAAAGTTTTATATAAACTCTTAAATATTTTATCTGTAAAACAAATTAAAATTAAATTATTAAAATTATTATCCTAAAGAACCTATACAACAGTTGTATGTTTTTATCAATAACTGAGACTAAATTATAAATTAATGAATCGATTGTATAAATTTTTGTATAAACTTCTACAAAAGTTTTAAATATAAATTCGATATTTGTTAATTTGAAACGTTCACTTAATTAAATAGGTGGAAAATATCTGATTTAAATTTATTCAATAATTTTATTAATACAATACCTACTACATTAGCTTCTTGCTGGCATAAAATCTAATATAGCTAATAGTTCTAGTTTTTCACATAATGCTTTACTGTAGTATATTTTGGTAATGAATAGATAAAATGTTAGTGTTATAAATGTCTATAATATATAACAGTTCTATGCTAGATACATGTGTTTTTTTTTGTTATACGTACATATTTTTTAGTAAGAGCTATTATATTATTAAAAATATAAACGTAACATGCAAAATAAAAAAATACGACACAATTGAAACTGTTACAAAACAAACAATTAAACAATTAATTTTACTATTTGTAGAACAAGCAACCCTTTCTTCAAACATTTCACATCCCAACTTTTTCGAAGCGAAATGGTTCTAATTTCTTTTTTCAAAATAAATAATTGGAATTTATTTGTTTTTTTTTTATTTTTAAGCCAATATTTTATTTTTATTTATTCATTTTATTTTACTTAACAAATTCTATGTAAATAAAATTAATTTGCACAAAATAATATATTACAGCAATTTGTTAGTTTAGGAAATTGTAAAAATATCACTTAAAATGAATATATTTATTTTAATATATTTAAAATTTACAATTATTAAAATTGTTATATCAAAAGTAATATTGTTTTTTTTTATTTGTAAATTTTGGAATTGCTTTAAAATTTTTACTAATTCAATTTTTGTTGCTAATTTGTGGACGGTACAAATTAAATAAAATCGTGTTAGTTTTATTTAAAAATTTTTATATAAACTAATTTTCAATAAATGTGTTAGCAATTTATTTGAAATAATTTTAAAAAGCAGTCGTTTTTCGTAGGTAGAAAACTATTATTTAAATTAAACTTAGTTTCGAAATATAAAATTCAATTAATCAACTTTCAACTAATCACAAGGCAAATAGATTTTGTTAATGAACGAACGATTTTTCTTGATTTAATCAGGCTGCGCGCATTGTCATGTTGATTGTTTCGCTCAGTGTAGCAAAAACGAGTAACGGTTATTTTTTGAAATTGTTATTTGGAAGTTATTATGATTTTTTTAGCAGTTGGGCAATGTGTTAGTATGTAAAGCTGTTTGATCTTAATTACATAGTTCTTTAAAATAGTAGAGAAGTATATGAAGCAGCAATATCACCAACACCTTGATAAGCAGCAACTGTTCGAAAAGTTATGAAGCGCAAACAACAATTTAATTGGATATAGTATATAAATGTAGCTCTTAATAGATCAATTTAATGAATACATTTTAGAAAGCAGCAATGAAATTTATATATGAGATTCTTGCAAATAATGTCTAATGCAATTATTCCTTTGAGTAGAATGTGTGAATAGAGTGTTCTGTATTTAAAATGCTTTGATTTTTAGGCACTTTACTTTTTTAAGGCACTGCTTTTAATACTACAACAAATTGTTGATTTAATCGTAATAATTTTTTTTTAAATTGTTACTTTTGCTGAGTAACCATATTTGTTTCATTTTAAATACACAACACTTCTTCTTCGTGTTCTTAAGCAATAATTTACTGTATGGAAAATGGTTTGTGTCTATGCTTGACAGTATGGTGAATAATTACGAATGCATGTATTGTTCATGTAAAATATAAGTTAAAAATATAATAATAGCAATATGGAACGTTCACCATGTGGATGTGAAAAAGTTATAGAGTGGAAGCTATAAGGATTAAGTCATTTGATTCTTCATACATAACAATATTTTTTTATTTCTATTTATTGGTGCTTACTTTTTGATGAGCGATCGAACTTTTTTTAAAGTTCGATTTAAAATTGTTTTGTTATTTGCATTGTTGGTGTTATTGTTGTTTGCTGCCAAAGTCACAGAATTGGAGGAGGAGTTGGAAGGCGGCTTAATGCCATTTTGACTGCCGCGATGCACATGCGCCGCAGCTCTTGTTTGGTTTTTTGTATTAGAATTAATATTACTGCATGATTGTGAGTCTTCTCGTTCGTCTTCAGTTGAACTGATGCCATCTGGGCTTTGTCTTGTTATTGCAGTATTTTGCCGCATGGAGTTTCGTTCAGGAGTTGTGGATTTTGCAACACGTTGTGGTGGCAATGGTTGGGTTGTTCGCGTACCACGGCTTAAGTCAGGTGTTGCTGGTGTAGCAAGATTTTGCATACTTTGTGTACCTTCAGTTGGAGCATTTGGTGCTACTAACGCTGAAAGTGTTTGCTCATCAATGAAATGATCGAGACTGCGGGATTTACGATGTTGTGTATTTGCAGGTAAATTTAATGTAGATTTTTCTCGCCTTGCTACAACTTCAGGTTCTTTTAGTTCTGACAGTGAGCTCAATGAACAATTATAATCTTCGCTTGGTTGTAAGGTACATGTCGAACTGGCATTAGTTAGAGCAATACTACCCGCTGCTACTAAAGCTGCAGCTGCTGCAATGCGCTGATCTGTTGTCATTGCTTCGTTGCTATCGAGCAACTCATCTACGCTATGTGATCGATAGTTTCCTGCCTGCACGTTTTTGTTTACAACTCCTGTTGCAGAACTACGTCTCGGTGGCCGATAGGCAAATGGTGCCACATTCTGCATTGAACCACCTATTGGCAGCGCCTTTGGTTGCTGTGTCCTATACGGAGAAATAATATTACGCTTGGAGTTACCATGACCAAAAATGCTTAGCTGACTTCCACTACCACCAGTTGCACTTAAGATTCCACTGCCACTTAAAGTATCTCCGCCACCTATACGTCTAATCGGTGATGATGATTGCCGATATCTATTTGCCTGGCGATTAGCTGCTAGTTTGTGATTAGTATTAATTAAATTAATATTATTATTAAAATTTGTATTTGTATGTGTATTTGTATTTGTATGAGTAAGTTTACTACGACTACGAAATTGTTTTTTGTTTTCTCTTAATAATTTAGAATTTAAATGATTTAAGTTAGTTACTTTCGAGAAAGTAGCATAAGGAGGAGAGGAAGATAAACTACTATTATTAATATTCGAAGAATTTTTATCATTTTCATAACAATTTTGGGTGCAATCTAGTCATTCAATACTTGATCGCCCCGTATTTGTAGTTGGTGTTGTTATTTGTGTCCCACCTTGTCCACCGCCATTTGCTGTTCCAACAATGCCGCTACCGCCCACTACAACACTACTTCCACCACCACTGTTCTGGTAATCTGAATCATTGCTATGCATCCTTTGATACGTCACCGAACCTGGAGTGCCAGGAGTCATTGCTACTATCCGATCGATATTCTTCTCCCCGCGCATGAATCTAAAATAAAGAAACAGATTTAATTGTTAATAAATCAAAGCTGCTAATATTTCTATATAACAAGAATAATAAAGTATTATAAAAGCTTACAAGATTAATTACATTAGCTAATTAGTATATTAATTTATTTCACCTTTCGAGTTTTTCTATGCAGGCATCCTGATAGTCATGTATCCACGTGACACCATTAAAATGACAAACACTACGCATATCTTCGGGTAGCTTTTCTAGTTCTGGCCACTTAAATTGCTGATCGATTATTGGAATAATATTGCAATTGGCTTCTAGAGCGGCAACAATTTCCTTTAAAAATCAAAACAAATTAGCACTTCCTACTAATTTTTAAATAAGTTTAACTTACTCTATGCACCCAATCCTTGCCCTCTTCGTCTTCCATACAACGTTCTAGCGCGTTTGGCGTTAATACTAACACGAAATTTTTCGCTTGTCGAATACTGTTTAAAAGTCCATTATCGAATTTGCCTGCTTCCAAGCGCTCAACATCAATAAAGACGGAGAAACCTCGCAATTGCAAGTGTACCTAATATGAATAAAGGTAATACCAATAAATATATAAGTCTATAAATATATGTATCAATTTCTATATACATACCTTTAGTAAACTGGCTAATTGAGAACCATTTGACCTTCTGTAACTGACAAATACGTCCAAGGTTTTTGCCATGTTTTCCTCTGATGAACTTGGAAGCGAGTTTTCCAGACTCTTAATGGCATTTAATATACGCAGTCTATGAATTGAATTTTTGATGCCGCACTCAGCGATAAGCATATCCTCATTAAGCTTTGATAAAGACATCCTATCTATGCCGGCATTTAGCATTGAATATGTATAAGTGCAATATTCGGGACCAATTTCGTATAGAAAGTGGTGCATCTTAGCCGTATCCTTAGAAGAGTAATCAGCCATACGTTTGAGATTTTGTAATTCACGTTCGAAACGCTTCAGCAATATTCCATTGGAAATACCAATATCGTCACGTAGATTGTGATCGTTTAATTGCAGTAAGAGATCACCATCAACTTGGGATTCTTCAAATTGTTTCACGTATTGCATGAAACCAATTTGCTTCACCCATTCCTGTACATCCTCAACAGACCATAGTGGCACCTGTTGAGACAGTTTATGTGGTACTGTTTCGCCAATAAGGCGCAAAGCTTTGGCTGCAAACTTTGAGGCTATCGCATTTGGACAACTTGCAACAGTCTTAAGTGCTTCAATAGCGCCAATTTCACGGAAGATTTCTGTATTACCTTGTTCACGCTTAATACCAGCTTCCATGCAAAAATGAAAAGCGGCTAAATTACGTGCTTCTTCTCGATTTGAACTGAGGACAGGAACAAGACGTTGTAGCCAATGTTTGCTCTGACCATGTGCATGTGCTAAATTTGATTTAGCAAATTCGGAGGGATCATGTGTAGTAACGAAAGGTTCAACCAAGTCCAGACAACCGGATTTCAACACCTCCGCTTCAATTTCTTTATTGGCGACTAGTACGGCAATAGCAAGGCAGGCGTAATATTTAATGTTATCATCGTTATGGAACGCCAAAGGAAAGAGCCACATGGGAACTTTACGATTGATCATTGCTTCTTGATTATCTTTACCGCCATATAATGACAAGTTAGCCAAAGCGCTAGAGCAATGCCGTAATGTTTCAACATCGCTTGTACGACATTCAAATAAGACAGCATCCAAACCACCCAGCTTAATGACATCGGAACAGGTAACTTCAGAGTGTTTGAACAAGTGTTCTAAGATACCTGTGCCTACGCGTGAATGTTCTTTGTCTGATTTCTTTGTGCAAACGCAGGCAACATTAACAACTTTATCCAAACCATTATCTACGACATGTGTGCGATTCTCGGTGGTCAAACATTGTTCCAATAGCTTCGCAGATGAATATTGAATTTTCATATCACTTTGCACACAATTTGTCATTAACATATCTAAACCGCCACTGTTCCTAAGTGAATTGCATAAACTGTAGCCCAACTCATGCCCATGAGTTGGAACAGCCCACGCACTACGCATTACTTCATTAATTTTATCTAAATAGTTCTGCTGCATTGATGTGCTCTTCGCATCCTGCAGAGTTGTCACAAATGAATTTAACACATTCGAATACTTAACAATGGCTTGTTCCACGTCACGTGGATCGCTTGCTGATGTTAGTGAAGTTAAATCATCTAACTTGAGATCACTTATCTTTATGAGTTGGCCGTTCGTTGCTGACATTTGTGAAGAAGAAGAGATCATACTGCTTCCCGAACTGGATACACCTTTGTGTGACATTGTGTAGTTGGATTGCGAAGCTGACGATACGTGCTTTTCTTGACTAATGATGCCATTTGAAGTCATTGTTTGTGATTGTTGGGATTGTGAAATTGCTTTCTTATCGGCGGAGAAGGTGTCACTTTGAACTTTAATACTAGAGGCGGCAACATTATTGCTGGCTTGTTGTGTAATATCACCCGTGCGCAATGAGAGCGCTTCCTAAAAATAAACAAATCAGTTTTTTTTAAATATATTTCATTTTGAATTAATAATTTATAATTTGGTAAAAATAATATTATTAATATACAAAAATGTTTAATGCTACATAAATAGTGAGAATCTGCTCGCAGTAAATAACACTGAAAATCTATTAGAGTAAAAAAAGGAATACTAAAGAAATATAATATACATAATTTATAAAATATAATATAAATATTATATATATATATATTTATTTTTATAACACATAACATAAACATTATACAATTGTTATATACATATAAAGTACCACTATGTAAAAAAGAAGTTCGACTTATGGAGACGTCGAGTTAAAGAATTTTTTTGTAATTGTATGTAATTTGCTCTCTAAACCCTATTGCACTCTATATAATTCGAGTTATAGAAGTTGGACTCTATATATCATTTCGGAAAATTTGCATTGTTTGAAAAATATTTTCAATGTTTAAATATATCAAGATCATAATCAGTTTATAATGTATTAATAAAAAGAAAAGTAGGTATTGGTTAACTATTACTTATTATTTACTTATTACATATTTCGGATATAATATATCTTAGAGTTACGGTGCTAGATATCGTTTTGTTATAATAATCTTTGTTTTAAGATAAATTATTCTTAGTATTTAAATTTATAAATAAATTAAAAGAATAAAAAGGAAAGTCAGTCGTAAAAGTTTAGTAAAAGTTATAGAGTTTTAAAATATTTGTGTAGTATAATATAGTATGGTATATTTCAGTATCTCCTGATGGAATTTTTTTTTATAAATAATCTGTTATAAGTACAAAAATCTCTTTAATAGTCAGACAGCGCAATTTTATTTTACAAACTTAGTATTATTTAAACCCTTCTCTCTCATGGATCCTCATCAAGCTTATTAAGAAAAATGGCTATTTCATCAACAGAATAGATAAATAATTATTATACTAAACAAAAGACCAGAATGTCTGCTGTTGAGAATTTCGATGAAAGGACGTTCAGGTTTTCGTAGTTAGGCCACAATATATATCTTCATGAAGTATTCTTAATACCCTTATTTCTTAAAGGCAAAAGTAGATCTTTTTAGATCTTTTTAGACTTGACTTATAAAAAAAAAAAATTTGATTTATAGTTTCATACTTTTACTGGCCGAGCCAATATTTTGGTATTTTTAGATATACAAGATAAGTTCCATATGTAGGATTAGATAAAGGAATTTAAATTATATACATATTATTTAAACTGATTAAAATCGTGGAACTTAATATTAATTGGTTTTGTTTGGAAGCATGTTACTACCTGTTTTTGTTCAACCTCTATAGGAATTTCACGTATATTCTGATAATTCCCATTATTGGAGTTATTATTGTTTTGAGTATTGTTTATAATTGTATTTTCTTGATTATTGTTTCCTGTTGTGGAGGTAGTGTTTGTGTAGTTGGTAGTGTTGTTGTTGGTGGGAGTTGATGTGGGTAGTTGCAGTAACGGTGAACTATTACGTACAGAACGTGCGGAAGAAGATGACGATGAGGAAGAAGAAGTAGCGGACATAGCAGAGGCGGCGGACATACGTGATGCACCGGCAGACGCGGACGCCGAGGAACTTGAAGCCGATTGCGATGAAGATTTTGACGATGAAGTTGAAGATGTTGTTGATTGTGATTGTCCGTTAGTTAGAGAATTTGTGTTTGTTTGTAAAGGACTATGTCGTCCTGTTACTACTTGTATAGGTTGAGGTGGCGGAGAAAATGGGCGATTGGCATAACGGCTATTACTGTTCGTTCCACCCGTTGTATTTACCGGCGGCGGTGATAATGGCATTTCGACAATAGGACTAGGCGAACGTGTCGGTACGAAATCGGATTGACCGCTCGAACGAAAAATGCCTTTACGTATTGGCCAAGGTGGCTGATTCGACATTTTTATTATTTATAGCGAATTTTGTAAATTTTTATTTGTTATATCTGACAAGTTATATACAAATCACTTTTGTTTAGTTTATTCGAAATGATCGTGCTTCTAATGCAATTTATTTTCAATGTCAAGCTTAACGAAAGGCCACCCGCGCAATACCTATATACAACATAATGTATGAAAATAGCACAATTTGGTGAAAATACTAACGAACGTACACACAAACATACAATATCTAGAGGAAAAAAAGTAAGAAAATCACAAAAACATGCAGACAAGCGTAAATCTATTCAACAAAAATGAAGAAAAGATACATCGTTGAAAATCGTTTGAATTGATAGCAAAGGGTTTGCTAACAATTAATAGAATTTCTTAATTTGAAGGATTTATAAATAAATTCTAAGAAAATTTCTAAGCTATAGTGAAGTTTAAATAATTTTCAAAACTGAACGAACATTAAAACGAGACCTTTAAACACATGCAGCGGCAAAGCTTACTCGTATCGTGTGTAAACGGTAACTCATATTTCTTAGTTAAGATTTTCTTAACGGCTTTCGTTAAGTTTTCAAAAATTGAAATTTTATTTCTCTGCGGATTCTTGCGATTCTGTGGATTCTTGTTGGTCTTTAACTTGTTTTTATATATCATAAATCTCACATTAAATATGTCAAAATATTCTAGAAAATCACGTTAATTAGCGAATTTATAAAATATTTTCATGACGTTTTCTATTCTTCTTTATTTTTTGTTTTTGTTATGTTTTTGTACGGGTATCTAATATAAACGCGTGCGTCTTGTATCTGAAGCAGTGGCAGGCACTGTTAGTATTCGGAGAAGGTCGTTTTAAAATATTATTTCTATTTATATTCAACCGTCTAACCGTATAGTATAATAATCGTACAAATATTTTATTTACAAATTATTTTAATTTATTTTATTATAAATTTATGTTTGTTTAATTGTATCAATGAAATCGCAAGTTTCTTATTTGCTTTTATATTATTTTTTTTATTTTATTTTTATTTTATTGATTTCATTTATTTATGTAAGCAAACGATCGTCCATCCACTTTTCATATCTGCGGCGGCGGCCAACGTTAATTCGTACGAAATACACAAAACAGACTGAATTCGAATATTTTGTCTCGACGGTATTTTGCGCGATTTCAAAAAAATTCAATTCAATTCGCCAAGTTCGTAGAGATCTTCTAAGGTTCGAAGAGTGTGGTCCAGAGATTTTTAAATTCATTTCGAAAGATTTTTGAAGATTTCTCGAGAGAGCGGTAAAGAAGCATTTACAGAGAAATGTGAAAAATAATTATTAAATGATTTCCAAAACATTTTTTCCAAAATTTTTAAAAAAATTTTTTATTTAAAATTCTCTTTTTATTAATGTTCTCATTGATTTCTGTGCTGGTGTTTTTAAATAAAGCAAAAAAAAAAATTGTTTCTTATACAATTTGTTTTTTAATATAACATAGAGGGCCTTTGAACTTTTCTAATTTTATATCAGCTTATATAGCATAATTTAATAAAAAAATTAGGAAATATGCGATAGTAAATAAAAATTATTCAGTTTTTTTTTCTCAATTAAATTAATATTTGTTTACTAAATAGTGCTATATTTATTTTAATCATTTCAATTGATTTATTATTCTTTGTTGAATAAACTATGACCTTATTATATTTTATATATATTTTTATTGTTTTTTATTATAAGAAAATCATTTAAACTTTAAACATATTAAAAATCTTAAAACCTTTTTAAAATTAAAAACTTTTACAGTTTCCCTCGTTTTTTCTTTTTTCCCAATAACTACAAAATATATAATATGTACTCCATAAATGTATATTTTTATTTAATATTTAAACAACTGAAAAATTTCTAGAAATGTAAAAATATTAAAGAGTCATTCTTACACAAAATAAAAGCTGCAGAAAAAATAAACTCAAACTTTTGAATGAATTTAGTTAAAGTATCTGATACAGTGGAACTATTTATGCGATGTTCATACTACCTCTTAAATTTAAGCTAGGTTATACCGCAAAAAATATTATAAATTTCGTAAGAAATTCGATCAAATTAAAGATTAATTACATTAGTTAAAAATTTACATACTTGAATGAACTTTAATTTATTAGTGATTTTTATTTCTTTTTTTAGTTTTATTTAATTTCAATTTTTATTTTATTATTTATTATTTTATTTTATATTTACGGTACGATTCTAAAGATCAAGATATACGCTAAATTTAAGTTAATGAAATGAATGAAACATTATGATATTCAATAAGTGAGAGATAAAAGATAAGAAGAGGTGTAGATGTTTCAAACTTGCTGATATATAATAATATCTACTAATTTAATCTATTTATCTAATGATATCTGCAACTTTCAGACTCCAGTTTGTAAAAGCTGGTAGTTAATAGTCTCATATTTGAATATGATGCTCAATAGTCTAATTTTTTTAAAGGTGACAGTCATTAGTCCAATTTTTCACAGGTGGTAGTTAATATTCCAATTTTTGGAATATTAGATGGATAGATAGTGCTCAATGGAAGCATACTCATTTATGAGACCATTTATCAGGTTTATTTCGAGTCAGAAACTTGTCAGCATTTTTCTTGTTTATATAAATGAGATACTTAAATGGTTTGAGTTCTTTGACTTTGGATCGTTACTGATACATTACTTATTGATTAATTTACAATAGTGACCATAACTGCTAATAACTGTTTGGCATAAAAATAATCTATTAAAAGGTACATATTATTAATCAAGTTTCTAGATCTTTTCTGGATCGATATCGTCGAATCTTTTATAGAATCCAGTAGAAATTTATTGTGTAACTGAAGATATTAGTATTCAAAGTATAAGTTCTGTTTAAAATGAGTTTCGACTAATTTTGTATTAGTGTTGTGTTATTATTATTATAGATATCAAATAAATTTTGGAGATATTATAAATTGACGATTTTAGTTTTTAATAAAGAGAAACCAATAATTTCCAAAAGAAATTATATATTTTACGCCGATAGCCAATAAGTATTATTGGTAAATTTATTATATGTTCTATTACATTAGCCTTTT